AACAATGTTTGTTTCGTTAGAGTACAAGAGCTTGAGTCCCACTCATCGAAATTTAATTCATTACGCCTATTTGATCGCATAAAAAGCCTTACTATTATCCAAAATAATGAATTAAGTGAGCACTCAGATAATCATACGAACCAGACCAGCCGTAATTGACTAACGTGGACACATGTGCACAATATTATAATCCGGCATGGTGGTCAATGATCACAGATGACTCATCCCCATAAAGGATCCTGGCAAACACTAGTTTTTCTAGTTTACAGGTAACTATCCGAGGAAAGTACAACCCAACTCAGGAACTGGAAATTTCTCCTTATTCTGCTGACAGCCCAGTTAATCACCGGAGGATATCGCGTTGCGCATTGCGCAGCAATCTGCAAGGAATTCAGACTCAGAACTGATGCCAATACAAGCGAACATGCGAGTCCCAGGAAGTAATTGAGAAGGAAACGACTAGATCGCTGGGACAATACTTTGATTCGCCTGACGTTTCGGCATCCGTCGCGGATTCATCATCAGAGACATTGGCAGAAAACGGTAACAGAAACGGGTTATAAGTGCACGGGAGTTTGCAGTATTTATAGGATTCAGTCATTACTGCAAACATACGGCGACAATTAACGTTAATTGCCTTCTTGTGCGTGGATTGTTTGTTGGACGGCATGCGGGCTCTGATCTGTTGAATTTTCGTCACGCTTGGTGGACTCGGGCATGATGATTGCTCGGCAATCTGGCCCTCTGGTGTTGGCTTAGGATGGCGCGGTGGCCTGTCCGTACCCCAAGTGGTAACTTGCTTTGGCAAAGTTGAATCTCAGCACCGACCCCAAAATTCAGCGAGCGATCCCGTACGTCAAAATTGTCTCGGAGGCTGTCGGCCGCCTTCACGCACCACTTGGAGTTGGAGTCGCACACAAGTCGGAGACAATCATAAGACGCCAGATAATGAAGCTGAAAGACCCACTACCACGGCTAAAAAACATCGGAGAAACTAGCAGACTTCTCAAGACGCGAATTGTCGAACACGTGGCAGCAGTGCGGCGAAATGATGCCAATTCTCAAGTTGTGGCT